TATATATATATATATATATATATATATATATATATATATATATATATGTATGTATGTTGCACTGCTCTAACTATGACCCCTGACCCTTATTCATCTTCCATGCTTACTATGAATTGTGTTCTTTAAAGTTACATTTGACCTAAATATTGTCTGGTGTTTTTCACACATTCACCTGTTCTTGGACACAGAGTCAGCTACAGTCTGACTAATGTTGACCTTATTTTCCCTATGTTTTTAAGAAAGGAAAAACAAATCATTAATGAGTTTTGTTTTATTTGAGTAATATGTGTGAACATGAATGGCTTTGATTATTGTTTTCAATCATTATAACAAAATAATGTGAAATATTTTAATGTGAATAACATATTTCTTTTTCCTGGTTTTCAGAAGATAACTCATTCCTTCAGAGACACTTGTCATGAATGTTCTTTGAGCTGGAAGCTGTTTACTTCAGAGGGGGGTCATAATGTTCCCTAGTTAGCCAAAACAATCTTCTCAGAGCTGTTGTTTTGCACAAAGATCCCTTGTGTGAAATAAGTAGTTTGTTTTGGACTCCCGACCCGGAGTGTTCGTTTTCATCTCTGAACCAGAAAGTGGTTTGTCTTTGGACCCGATCCTGATGTAGTCCGAAGTCCACTCGTTTATTCCTGAGCAGATGTTGCTCAATTGCAATTAGTTAGAAAATCAGAAGTTTACAGAAGCTGAAGCCTTTTCTCACTGCAAGACTCACCTTCAGTCGGCTTGAAGTCCAAGCCGACTGAAGGTGCCGATGAATGGTGCACCTTCTCATCAGCTGTTGCCTCACAGACCCCTGAAGCTGTCACAGTGATGTTCAGTTCCTGGCAAGTCCTCATTGTTGTGTATCCTGGTCTTATCCACCAGCAGAACCCCAGAAAGGCAAGTGGCCAGGTGCCCTCAACACTGACCTGGTAAGCAGCAGAAACTTGGTGACATGATGCCTTGGTCTGGTTCTGACATTTTTATCTGATGCAACTTGGCATTTCCTGGCTTGAAGTGATAATTAATGACTTTATCTGGTCACATTAAATAACTTCTTTTAACCAAAATCCAAAGTAAACTATTTATTAAAATAGTCAAACTTTGTTTAAATTCATACGCATGTAGAACTGAAATAATTCCTGCTCAAAGAGTTAATTTTGCCTTAGATAAGAGAATTAAGCCTTTATTGATTCTATTGGTTCTATTCTATATGCTATTGGTTTAGCATAATTTTGCTGTTGTTTATCCGTAATGCCATAATAAATGTATGTTTATACTGTTTAAAAATGGCCTACGATTTACACAATGTGGTGGGTTGCCAGTTGGGCTTGTTTTCATAGAGCTGGTTGCTTGTTTCTATTGCGAGATCTGGCAACACTGGTTGACTCGCTAGTCTAGAGAGCTTAGTGTGGGCAGTTGCTGACCGCGGTGTAGAGCTGTCATTTCTAACCTGAACCCGGAGCCTGGCCCCACCCGATCTGGATTCGGACCAAGCCGGGCCATAATAATGTGCTTAATGTGTGGGCTGGGACGGTGTCGGGCGTATTATTGCGTCAGGAACGCGCGCGGCCGACAATACAATATATGCAAACATGGTTTGCCATACCACACCTGCCGCACATAACCATGTGACTGCACGCTGACCAGCCGAATCAAAGAGGTAAAAAGTTCAATTAAGCTTCAGATGGACTACTGCCAGCGATCCATCAGCCCAAATGAACGTTCATTCAGCTGCTGCAATCAGATGCTCACAGCCGAGACCCAAACAGGTGAAATTACAAAAAATCCGACATGTCAAAGCAGGGTCCAATGCAGGCAGAAGAGATGAAGCATTTAATGCACTTTGATGGCTCTTCAGCTCTGATCTTCTGCCCCGTCAGCCATGCGCATCCAAAAAAAACGTTAATAATAGTCGGTGGTATAAGCTTTATTAAAAATGCTGGGGTTTTTTCCGGGTTTGGACTTGTAATTACTGTTACGGGTTGGGGCCGGGTCGGTTCGAATTATTTGGACCCGAGTGCAACTCTACCATGGTAGTTAGGATGCTTGAGAGAAGTGGAGTGCTGTGTCTGCGTCATCTTACCTAGCACGTCTGTATTGTGTGTGGCTAGCTTAGCGCTAAGATAAGTGTGTGATGTAAGATGCTGTAAGTGTAAGGCGCTGTGTGTTAAAGTACATTAAAGTTGAAATTTCTTTAAAACCCCTTATTGTCCTCAAACTTCGTGAGAAACATAATTTAGATGGGTAGTATTGAACACAAGTAAAAAGTCTAGTGGTAATGTTTATTTTTTTATTTATTTAATTTCTTCATATCAATCAAGCAATCAATTTTATTTATAAAGCACCCTTCATAGTAAAAGCAGCTCAAAGTGATGTACAGAATTATAAACAATAAACCCTCAAAATAAAAGCAAACAATACAACAACAACAAAAAACACAATTGTATTGAAAATGTAGCATGAGCAGAGATGATCCAGTTCAGGAAATGGAGTTAAAAAGATGTGTCTGGAGCCTGCTCTTAAAAACAACATTCTCTGCAGGCCTCAGCTTCTCTGGCAGACTGTTCCACAGACGGGGGCCATAGTAATGGATAGAAGCCTCAACGTAAGTTCTGACTGTTGGAACTGTTAGTCCAGTGCCAGAGGACCTTAGGGTCTGTGGGGGTTCATAAGGTAATAGCAGCGCTGCAAGATAAGATGATGCAAGACCAATGAGACATTCAAAAACCGTTAAAAAAAAATCTTAAAAAACAATCCTTAATTGCCAAACCTAATTTCCCACTTACTTTTTGAAGCGTCAAAGCAACATTTTAATTAATACCTGTTAGCTCTTCAACCTAGTGAGCATTACTTACTTCACACAAAGAATCAAAATGAGTTATTAAAATAAAAAATGAAAAAATACTCGTAAAATTTATTCTGGACAATATCTAAGGATCAAAAATACACAGAGTAAGAACATAAACAACCTTGCTGGCTATCTATTTTATATGCACACAAAAGAAAACAGATAAAATACCTAAATGAGTTCATAGCAGTGAGTACAAACAGTTTCTCTCTCGTTTTTTTGTCGGATTCAGTTTGTTTGCTTTACAGGAGAGACAGATATTCATTCTGGTCATTAGATAAACAGCTCAAATATTTATTTTTAAATTAATCATTCGTGACTCTGAACACATCACTGTCATAAAGGGCAAGACATAAAACATGCTTTTAAAATCAGCAAACAAACAATTGCATTATTTTGGTAATTTTTGCATTATTTCTCCATCTAAAGTCAGGTGTGAGTTTTTGGCTTGAGCAGAGTTCAAGTATCTGGGAATCTTGTTCATTAGCGACGGCTAGATAGAACGGGAGACAGATGGTTAGATAGAGTCTTGTCCACAGTAATGCAGGTGTTGCTCTGGTCTGCTGTGGTGAAGAAGGAGCTGAGACAAATTTGTTGGTCCATCTACTGTATATTCCAAACTTCATCTATAGTCATGAGGTATACATCATGACTGAAGGTATAGGATCCTGGATACAAGGAGCTTGAAGTAGAACCTCTGTTTTCTTCATCAAAAGCAGTGAGTTGAGGTGTTTTAGGCATCTGACAGAATTCCATTGGATGCCTCCCTTTAAAGATTTTCCTGGGACATCCCACTGAGAAGAGACCTCAGGGCAGACTCAGAACTTGCTGGAGGAATTAGCTATCCTCTCAGGACTGAGGCCATCTCAGGATGCCCCAGGAGGAAATGAAAAGTTCCAGTGGAGAGATGTATGTTTGGGTTTATCTCCTGGGCCTGTTGTGACCCCAACACAGAAAAGCAAAATATGAAATAATGGATGGATGATAATTATGCAACTAAAATGAGATCTGGGTTTGGGGGCATGCTTTGATTCTGCTGCAATGGTTTGCTTTTTAGGCAAACTGCACAAACCTTGAGAGAAGTAAAGGCATATAAGAAAGGATTCAGGCAACTTTGTACAAATATTACTGCTGCAAAAATTCTTCTCGTGCTTGTACAAAACTTCATCAAAAACTCGTTTTTTAGACTTATGGCTGCTACACTCAGCACATTTATGGTATGATATGGAAGCCACAGAATGAAAAAGCTTAGAATGATGCTGGTAACAAGTCGGGTTGTCTGAGGATGGTTGAAAAAAGCTGCCTTGTTAATTTTAATCTGGATGCGAATATATAAAAATGCCACAACAGAAAAACACCCAAATCCCAACAGAACTTCTGTCATCAGTGCAGCCATCTGCTTGCCCTTAGAAGAATACAGAGATCGACAGTCTGCCCACTGCTCATCTAGTACAAGTTCTTTTACCACCACATGACGAATAGACAAGATGCACGCAACCAGCCAGAGCAGAACCAGCAGCAGTTTTTCTCGTACCTGACGGCATCCCATTTGGTGCACCACCACGAGGTAACGTTGGATGCTTAACCCCATGACAGTCAGCAGGTTGCTATAAATGCTGCAGTACACAACACAAGAGGTAATCTTACAGGCCATCAAGCCAAAAGTCCAGCCATGGAGGCAGGTATGAATCCAGAGTGGAATTGTCAGCAGACTGAGCAGGTCAGACACAGCCAGATTCAGCACCAAACTCTGGCTCAGACTGGACAGGTGCTCCCAGTTAGGCTTGAGGATAATGACAGCAATGTTTCCAGGAACTCCCACACTGAAGAAGAGAGAAAACACCACCAATAGAGCCAGGTGCTTAGAATCCAAGGACGGCTGAGATTGAAGTCCTGGAGGGGAGAGAGTAAAATTAGCCATTGTGAAATTAAACTGATCCATGTTGAGTCTTGCTGTCAAGGTTGTGCTCTGAAAAACTGAAGGTGGGCAAATGTGCATCCAGTCTCAGAAATAAAGTAATGACGTTAAGAGAAGTTGTGGTTAAGTGTCATCAAAATAAAATTCAAAGCAATAAGGAAATTGTAGGGTAGATGCAAAGATCTTATCTCTGTGCCACTCTTCTGGTATTTGCTGAAACATTATGCATGCTCGTATTATAAGTCCTGATGAATTAAAGTAAATGTCAAATTTAATCCTAAAGATATTTTAAATTGGACATAGTTGATCAAACAATGTTCAGTCAGGTCATTTGGACAGTTTCTTTTCTTTTTTTTTTCTTCATTTTTTGTTGAGAGGCGTTTCCATCCGAAGGGCTTCATCTGTCAGGGTTTCAAGGCAGATCAGGACAGGAGAACCCAGTTGCGCAGGCAGGACTCAGGAGACAGGCGTAAAATAAAATACTTTTAATAATAATAAATCAAAAAAGCTGACATGGCAGCAAAACTTACAAAACAGATTCAGGATTAAACAGGATCAGACAAGAAGGACAGGACAGGCAATACCCAACGATGAACCGACACCGACAGGACTAACAGACAGACTTTATATACACAAACAGGACATGACACAGGTCACAGGTAATGATAATCAGACAAACAATACAGAGACACAAGGGAGAACAGACAGGGGAAGGCCCACTAGATGGCGCCATCCCTACATCATCAGTCTGAAGAGTCACAAACAAACCGTTTTCCCCACTAAGCAGTCCACTCCTACAGTGGACCAACCAGTTTGCTGGTGATAAGATGGTTTCTGCGGGTTGTCCTATCTCCCGTCAACTCCTCCCAGGTAACGCATCCCAAGTGGTTCAAGACATCAAGGTTCATGCTCAATAATCCAGGTAAAAACCAAGAATGTATAATATACATAAAATACCATAATAGAAAAACACCCAAATCCCAACAGAACTTCTGACATCAGTACAGCCATCTGCTTGCCATTAGAAGAATACAGAGATAGACAGTCTTCTCACTGCTCATCTTGTACCAGTTCTTTTACCACCAAATAATGTACACGTCATCTGGACAGTTTCTTTTTTTTTGTTGTTGTTGTTGAAACATCTCTCAACAACAACAACAACAATAACAAAAAAGAAACTGTCCAGATGACCTGACTGAACATTCTTGGATTTTTTTTTACCTGGATTATTGAGCATGAACTTTAATAGTTGATCAAAATACTTTTTAAGTTAATTAATAGTAGTTAATAGTTAATTAATAGTAATAAAAATTTAAATGAATTGTTAAAAGTGCGCATGCCAGTATGTACATCATGCATGTTTACATCATGTCCTATCACTTTAAAACAGGTAATGGAAATAAAAATATACATGAATGTTAAAAATTAAATAGATAAAATTCAAAAGGCAACTGGCCTGGGCCAGAGGGAAAATGTCAGGCGCTCTAGCACTACCTAGTGTTTGTGCACATCCCTGCAAGTGCACCAGCCTCATCTGTGTCATGTGAACGTGGGTTTTCGAAAGCTGAAGGAGTTGTCAGCCAAAAATAAATGGTCTATTTCCAAAAACTGTGAATTAAAAAAAAAAAAATCTTTTACTTCCTATCCATGTTCTTAATCACTCCCAGTCTTCGTCACACAAGCACACCCTATCATCCCAGCACATTCTCTGTAACCCCTACATGTATAACTACATATATTTGTAGAATCAAATGAAAAATCAATATTTACAAATAATTACTTGATTCTCACAAACGCCAAATTCATTCATTGCACAATTAATGACTCATTGTTTTGCTGTCTATTATTTTGCCACTTCTGTGAACGTCACTGAAATGAAGCATTAATTGAATCAATTCATTTTCAACACATGATGAAGTGGTTCAAAAATTATTTATTGATTCATTTGCATATCACTACTATTGACAGGAAAGCTGGACTTAAACAAGCCTCTTCTACGGTTGGAGGAGCAGATGAACAGTCCAACCAGGATGCAGAGGGATCTCCACTGGGAGGGGTCAGGAGAGGCCAGCCAGTCTCAGGGGTGGGGGGAACTACATAACAGGGCCAAGAAATCATCAACCTGTAGCTGCACAGTGTTGTGCAAAACAAATGGCCTCAGGCCACACAATCAGTGAAAAGATAAATTAAGCAGCCAAACAGAGAAGTGACAAAACGTGCGTGTGTTGAAAAGTTATGTGACAGAACTGGTTGTACTGATTAAAATATCAGATCAAATGGATAACAAAGTTGGATGTATAGACACACTGCTTGCTTGTTGCAGAAACAAATACATATACAACATGAAAACAATATGTAATATGAAAAATTGCATGCAAAAAAGAAAAAAAACATAAATAAAAAAAAATCAAAAGAGACCGAACTGGCCGAAGCCGAAACAAGTTCATTTATTTACTGATGCTCATTGGATGAACAGAATGAACATGATTTCATTCATCAAAATATAATTTTTTTAAATGTAAATTTTGTTAGGGCTCATTTCTGAAAGCAAAAGTAGAATGCTGATATTTCTAAATCACAGAAGAACATTTGCTTCAGGTAAACTCCTCCATAGAAAAATCAGTTTAGTTTTTAAATTCTTGTCAGTCTTTTCTTGATTGTCAGGAAACCACGTCGAAGGCTCGAGTTGGAATAACATACACCTTATTTAGACCGAAGTGTTGCCTAACAGTTTATTATTAAACCCAGTCTTCTACAGCTTATTGGAACACAAATGACTTTAACATGATACCATTGATTTATTCTTAAAGAACTCTTGTCATTATGGCAGTTCTGTAGTTGTAGCAGTATCTGGCACTCTTTGATTCAGCTGTATTGGTTCCTGCTTTATACAAACTTTGCAGAATTTTCTAGAAGTAAAGGCATACAGGAGGGGGTTCAGACATTTGTTAACATATGTTACTGCTGTGACAATGTTCCATGTCTCTTTAAAAAAATTCTCAAGGTCTGTATTTCCGAGATAAATAGCTGCGATCTCCAGCACATTTATGGTAAAATATGGAGTCCAAAGAACAAGAAAACTCACAATGATGCTGGTAATCAGCCGAGTTGTCTGAGGATTGTTGAAAAAGCTTGACTGTTTAACCTTCCTACAGACGTGAATGTATGAAAACACCACAATAAAAACGGAAATCATTCCCGCAGTGGTCTCTGTCACCAGCACAGCCGCACACTGGGCATCAGAAGAATACCGAGGTCGGCAGTCTGTCCACTCTTGTTTTGATACCAACTCCTGAACCAAAAAGTAAGGAATACACATGATACAAGCAACCAGCCAGAGCAGAACCAGCAGCAGTCTTTTTGGTACCTGTGTGAACTTATGCTGGTGAACCACCAAAAGGTAACGCTGAACGCTTAACAAAGTCACAGTCAGCTGACTGCCATAGGTGCTGCAGTACACACCATAAGCAAGAAGCTTACAGGACACTGAGCTGAATTTCCAACCATAGAGTAGAATGTCAATCCATAGTGGAAGGGTCAGCAGACCCAGCAGGTCAGACACAGCCAGATTCAGCATCAAACTCTGGCTCAGACCGGACAGGTGCTCCCAGTTAGGTTTCAGAATGATGACAGCAATGTTTCCAGGAACTCCCACGCTGAAGAAGAGGGATAACATCACTGCAGAAGCAAGACGAATGGAATCCTTGGAGGGGTGAAGTTCAGGTAAAGATGAGATGTTAGGCATGGTTACAGTGGAATTAGACTGATCCATGCTGCGTCTTTTGGTGCGGCTGCTGCTTAAACAATGTACAGACAGACAAAAACAACATGGTTAATGGGCATGAGGTTTTCTAGTACTTCAGTAAAAATAGCAGCACCAAAAAAAAAAATAAAAAAAAATGAAGCTGATGCAATGGAACTAAGATCTTATCTAAACATCTGTTTCATAACTATCTGCATCATTTTGCAATGCTATTGCTTTAAGCCCTTATGAACAAATGTGTTGTCTTATCAAATTTAATCATACAGCCTAATGTAAAACTGTTAAGTTGCTCAAAGTACTTCACAGTTCATTACATAAAATAAAATAATAAATGAACTTTTAAATGTTTGCATATTGGGTCCGTGTACATCATGTCCTGTCACTGTAAGAAAATAAACAAACAAAAATCTCATGTTAGAACTGACCACGATGGAATGATGCTGATTCGTGCTGTGAACAGGAAACCACACATGCAAATGCTTATAATTTTAGATTCTGTGAAAACCAATCCACAGTTTCCAGGTAAATGCAGAGACAAAAGTATTTAAGAGCACAGTAGATTGGCTTCAAATTAGGGTTGCTCACATTTTCTGTTTAATTGTTTATGTGTTCTGCTTTCTGCACATTCTTCCACTATCACAAACCAAACTTTGGACGTACACTTTTTATTGTAAAACTGACAGATAAGTACAGTAAAATATGAATTTACATGCAGGCATCTTTAAATAGCTTTATATGTTTATTGCATTATAAATGTTTTTTTTTTTTTTTTGGGGGGGGGGGGGGGGTCATTTCAGTCATGATCACATTTTCCTCTGTGGGCTGACTCACTCCTTCTGTTGGATTATTATTTTTTTTTTTTTCAGTATGAGATGCAGATTTTGTAGAGGTGTCGGTCATAAAATTAGAATATCATAAAAAAAGTTGATTTATTTCACTAATCCCATTCAAAATGTGAAACTTATATATTATATTAATTCATTACACACAGACTGATATATTTCAAATGTTTATTTCTTTTAATGTCGATGATTAAACTGAAAACTAATGAAAACCCCAAATTCAGTATCAGAAAATTTAAATATTGTGAAAAGGTTCAATATTGAAGACACATGGTGCCACACTCTAATCAGCTAATTAGTCAAGTCAAGTCAACTTTATTTATAGAGCACATTTAAAACAGAACCTGTTATCAAAGTGATTAACAACAACAACAATTAATGAGTAAATTAAAGAGAAAAATATATAAACATATATATACAATACACTAATAATAATAACTGAAGAATTAATAAAAAGCTATTTAAATCATAGGGTCACAGATTAAAAAACACTAGAACAATTTACACTGTATGAAATGCCTGAGAGAACAGATGTCTTTTTAGCAGGGATTTGATGTGAGGAAGGGAGGTGGCCAGCCTGATGTTGGGGGGCAGGTTGTTCCAGAGTTTGGGGCCCATGACTGAAAAAGCCCGATCTCCTCTGAGCTTCAGTCTTGTTTTTGGAACAGCCAAAAGCAGCTGATCGGATGATCTCATGGCCCGAGAGGGAACGTAAGGTTCCAGAAGCTCAGAGAGGTAAAAGGGTGCGAGGCCATTTAGGCATTTGAAGGTCAACAGAAGAATTTTAAAGACTATCCTCGTACGCACTGGGAGCCAGTGAAGGGAGGACAGAACTGGTGTAATATGTTCAGACCTACGAGTTCCAGTTAAAAGCCGAGCAGCAGCATTCTGGACGAGCTGAAGACGTGAGATGGAGGCCTGGCTGATCCCAGCATAGAGTGCGTTGCAATAGTCCAATCGGGTCATAACACCTGAGCAGTGCCACAGACTGATCGACTCCATGACACGCTGCATTGCTGCAGTAATCCAGGCAAAAGGAGCCCCAACTAAGTATTAAGTGCTACACATGCTCATACTTTTTATGTTCATACTTTTCAGTTGGCCAACATTTCTAAAAATCTTTTTTTATTGATCTTAATAAAATTCTAATTTTCTGAGATGCTGAATTTGGGATTTTCCTTATAGTTGTCAGTTATAATCATCAACCTTAAAAGAAATAAACATTTGAAATGTATCAGTCTGTGAGTAATGCATGAATATAATATAAAAGTTTCACTTTTTGAATGGAATTACTAAACTAAAACAACTTTTTCATGATATTCTAATTTTATGACCAGCACCTGTATAATCTTTGGTGGTAGTGTTTTCCACCCAGTTCACACGGAGTACACTAATATACTATATCCTAGTTTAAATTAACCTTATTAAGTTTTATTTGACAAGACAAATAACAGAATAAGAACAAGTTATCTGCATTTGCCCAGTTAATAAATAAAATGCAGAGTAAGAGCAGCATCTCTCTTGCACTTATGTGTGAACAGGAAACCAGAGTCCACTGATCTAAAAAAAGTTTAAGGTCATTCTAAATAATACAAAAGTAAAATAACGCACATGAGTCTGTAGGGATTCTAGTTTATTTAGTTATAGGCTCCACTTTCAGTTTTGTGAGTGGCAAGGCGGAGCTGATTACTCCCAGCTGTCACCACTTCCTTGATGAGAAGACTCCAGTACTTAAGTTACTGGGAAACTTTTGGACTCTCCTGGAACATTGTCCCATTTATGCTTCTTGTGAAGACTCGTCTCCACGCCATCCTAGTTCTGCCTCGTGCCTCCCTGCGCCTGAAGTTTTACCAAGTGAGTCTTCTCCTTCATTCAAGCCTCTGCACAGAACCCTTCATTTATCCTGCATCCGGCTTAGAGGTTCATCCTTCCACCTTCATCTCATACTCACCTCCAATCTAGTTTCCTTGGTCTGGTTCACCCATCGTATCCCCCTGTATCCAACTCCAAGCCTGCAAAACAAAATATTCAAGTAAGCCATATAAGTCAGTTCTAATATTGACTACATCCCTGTTTTGCCATACTCTTCCTGTGTCTCTCCTCACAGTCAACTCCTGAGTTCCTGCACGGCTCTGCAAATAAACTCTTATCTTTTAATTGTGGTTGGTCTCGTGTTTTGGTCTGACTCCTGGGGATCTATACAAAGTCTAACACAGAATGCGACAGAATTCTCCCCAAAAAGTAAATTAATTTTGTAATCATATTTTACAGCATCAAGTCTCTTCAGGTACATCGCCACAAACTTGGACCATCTTTATTTGTTAAAAAGAAAACGTTCTAATTAAGGACCAATTAGTTTGGGTCAGTAGTTGAGCATTTAGAAATGAATACATTTTGATGAAAATTTATGCATTTCTACTCTACAGCTATGCATTTTTGTCTTCTGACATAGAAAAACATTCATTTTAATTTATCTGCTCAGAAATCACATGTTTCCTGTGACATTATGAAATTTCTGCAGTTGTGTTATCGGGGCGTTTGAAAAACTCTTTGGTTCTCTTGCAGTGGTTTCTTTATTAGACAAAATGAGCAAATTTTGCTAGAAAAAAAGACACACAGGAGTGGATTCAAGCAACTATTTACAAATGACACAGCCTCAGCAATTCCTCCTCTGTTCGTATAAAACAAGTCTCTCCTTTCCAAGATAAAGAGCTGCGATGCCCAACACATTTATGGTAAAGTGTGGAAGCCACAAGATAAACGAGCTTACAGGTAATCAGTCGGTTCAGCTGAGGATTGTTGAAAAAGGCTGATCTATTAATTTTTTTTTTAATCTGGAGGTGCATATATGAAAAATGTTAAAATAGAAAAAGAAACAATTTCAAACAGATGTTATGTCAGTAAAATTGTTATTCAAGGAACATCAGTACTCAGGTGGGCATCGGGTCCACCGTTATGTTTTCAGCTGTTGAACCAATAAAGATGGGATAGACAGGATAAAAGCAACCAGCCAGAGCAGAACCAGCACTAATCTTTTTTTTTTCTTTTACACAGGGATGAAAAAAAGAAAAGTGGGAGAAGGGTTGAAAAGGAAAGGCGAAAGAAGAAGAGGAGCGAGAGAGAGGTATAAAGAGAACACAAATCAACATCATTGAAGTCTGCCTCTAGACCTGCGGAAGAAAAAGAACAAAACAAAACCGAGAAACCACAACAATAAACTACATATGTAATGATACTTATAGCATCATTAGAAAGTATTTTATACAGTACATGGTAATACAAGATGTATTTAGTGGCCACCACAACCCAACTGAGTGTGTATCTGATAAACACCTGAATCTAAACACCTGTGTGAACATGCTTATCACTATAAGGTTTCTCCATAAAAATGTTCAATAGTGGATGTGGGGACCCACAGACCCGTCCCCACAGGACACGATGGTAACACAGGGAAGACCGGAGCCACAGACACACAGCGGTCCCTAAGCCTGGAGTCCCAGTAGTCCCCCAACAGAGACAACCACACCCCCCAAGAGAAAAGCAAAGGGAAGCCCCGGGTGATCCCCAGCAACCACAATGCAGAAACCCCAGGAGGCTGTAGCGACGAGCCCACAGGCCCCGCCGGCAACCCACTACTCCAGAGCAGATCCGGCCATGGACACCAAGCCCCGAGTCCCGAGGTCATACCACCCCCCAACAGAGGCCCGACAGAGCCAGGGTACCCAGGTCCCGGCAGGCACCACCAGGGTGGGCCGGCACACACCCCACCACCCAGCCCCAGATGCTGAGAGCCACCAACGCGCTGACGTCAGGGGGGCCCGCCACCGGAGTGGAGCGCGACAAGGGGAAGTAGACCCCACATTAAATGGGGGGCCCAAACTGATCCAAGAGAGGGGACCACCCAAAACCCAACCTGCCATAAATAGGCACACACAGACGGCCTGACAGAGCCTCTGTTTGGTCGTCCATGCGCCCCACCCACCTGACAGCGACCGCAAGCCAGCCCCAGGCCAGGGGCCAGAGCAGCAGGGAGAAGCAGCTGAGGAAGGCCGGCCCAGCGCACCAAGGACCAGGCACCCCAACCACTTCACACCACAGGCCCGGAGAACCCCCCGCATGCATCCTACACCCCCCATACACACAGCATCCCCCAGCTCGAATGTCACA